TGGAAATGGAGCTCAAGGCACTGTGTACCAGGCAATCACTCTACCACATCCTCTTCTGAGTCTTTTGTTTCAGGGACTACGACATCAACCCTAAATATTTTGACATGTGTTTGCCACAGGACATGTTCTTACTTGAGCACCTGTGATTTTCTCTCTCAGGAATCTTAACCTGAATGAGATAATTATCTAACACTCCAGATTCTGATTTCTTCAGACCTGTTCTTGATTAACTTCGAGCTTTCTGCCACCAAGGACCAGGCACTGCATGTAGCCACTGGTTTCTTTAATGTCTTTTAACCAAAAGCCACCTCCATACACCCCATCCATCAGGGTACCGCCATTCACAGATGGTGCCTCACCTCAACGCCTGTAAAAGTCACCCTCAGTAAAATGAGTTTGTCCATCAAACACACTTTGTCCTAAAAAGGTAACTTATTTTTAAAAATATTTTATTTATTGTTTTTATTTTATGTGTATATGTGTATTGCCTGCATGTAGGTAAGTGCACCCATGTCCTGCAATGCCCGTGGAGGAGAGAAGAGGCTGTCAGATCCCCTGGAACTGGAGTTACGGACAGTCGTTAGCTGTCATGTGGATGCTGGGATATGAACCCGGATCTTCTGCACGAACAACCAGTGTTCTTAACCACTAAGCCATCTCTCCAGCCCCAGTAACTTCTTTATTATTTTATTTTATGTGTATGAGTGTATTGCCTGCATCAGAAGAGGGCATTGGATCCCCTGGAACTGGAGTTGTGGATGGTCGTTAACCACCATGTGGGTGCTGGGAACTGAACCCAGGTCCTCTGCAAGAGCAGCCAGTGCTCTTAACTTCTGAACCACCTCTCCAGCCCCTGAAAAGCTAACTTAAAAGCTAAGTTACAGCAGCTGTTTAAGAAGCCACAGGTCAGTTCTTACATAGCTTTTGGGTGTCTGGACAGCTTTGCTCTCTGGTTCCTAAGATCCAAGACATGTCCTCAGCCCTATGGGCACTGAGCAGAGCTTGCTGGGAACAGGCCATGCTGGTCCAGCTGGTCCACCGCTGCCTTCCAGGCTCTACCTGTCACCTGTCAGACACTGCACACAGGACAGCCAGCTCTGGGTCCAGCTCCCCAGCCCTCTGTCAAGCCACACACCTCTGCAAAATACCAGGCAGGCCATTTATTCAACCCTGCGGGGCAATCCAGGCTTCCCGGAATCCAGGAGGGGCACAGCCTCCTTGCTGTGGACTCGAAGCCTCCCTGGATCCTTCCAGAAGTCTCAAAGACGAGTTTGTTTCCCTGCAGGTCGCGACCCGGCACAGGGCAAAGGTACGTAAGGAAAAAGGCTTTTCGTAGCCCAGTTGCACAGTAGGCTTAGCGCCTCTGTCTGTGCAATGCGGCCAGGTGGCCACGAGGTGGCAGCACCCGCCTTAGGAGGGAGCGGGCCGGCCTTCCGCGGCCTCTGCGCAGTTCCCCCGTCGGCCGTACGGTGGCGCCAACCCCGCGGAGTCCGCGCTGGGCACCTCCAGGTGAAGGTGGTCAGCCCCCCCACCGTCACTTAACGTCACCAGGCGCAGGCCCTGGAGGTCTGATCTGCTCTGGGCTCCTGACCACAGGCCAGGACAGGGCAACCGGCAAGGAGGTAGCAGTCCTGGGAGCCACCGATCAGAGCATGGTCCAGCCTGGGCTAAGGACAGCTCAGCGCACCAATCAGAGCACGGTCCAGCCTGGGCCAAGGACCAATCAGCACGGTTCGGCCTAGGTTAAGGATTGCTCAGAGCAGGTTCAGCCTAGGCCAGGTGAGTGGGGAGAGCTGTTTCAGGAACATCTCCCCCAGAGCCCCAGGAGCCGAGGAGGACCCTGGGTCATGTCCCAGTGGTGTCTCAGACTTCTGGAGAGTTCTCCCCCAGCTCCACCCTCCCGAGGCGGATGGGGGTGAAGTGTTGGAGAACCAACCGAGGTTCTTTTCTGGTGACACTGGCTTAAAACCCCAGCAGGCCGGGAGAACGTGGCACTTGACAATTGTTTTCTTGCAGCCGGGGCTAGTTTGGGTTTTGCCTTCTGCGGCGATAAAGCTATTTAACACACGTTCACGTTCACACCCCACCCCCACCCACCCCTCCTAAAGGCATGGTAAGTACTGTCCCTCCAGGAAGCCAACATGTTCAGGGTGTTTCCTGATCAATGGGTGGAATTGCCAGTGAAATTGTAGAGAAAACATCGCTTGCCACGAGCTTCAGGGGGAGGAAAGGGCACTTTTTGCCACGGTCATTGAAGAACTAAGTCTCAAGTGGGGGCTTGTAAAGGAGGAATGTTTAAACCGAGGGGACAAGGCTTAGACTGCCAGGCTGGGACCGGAGCAGGCCGCCTTATTTTGCTTTACTGCTTAAAGGAGGAAGGGGAAGAACAGTCACAAAAATATGTGTTTCCCCAAATTATTTAAAAGTCAGAGGGATTTGTACTGTCCTTTTAATTCTGAATTTATCGGGAGCAAGGATAATTCACACAAATACTTACTTTGTTTCACTGAAAATTAATGTGATTCTAACATCTG